ATGATGTTGCTGTTGTTACGAGGGTGCCTCTTATTAGTATATACTACACATGTACCATCATGGAGGTGAGTTGTTGATGCTGATGTCGATGATGCTGATGTTGCTGTTGTTACGAGGGTGCCTCTTATTAGTATATACTACACATGTACCATCATGGAGGCGAGTTGTTGATGCTATTGTCGTTGATGATGCTGTTGCTGTTGTTGCGTGGGTGCCTCTTATTAGTATATACTACACATGTACCATCATGGAGGTGAGTTGTTGATGTTGTTGATGGTGCTGTTGCTGCGGGGTTCGACTGTAGATCTAGCTACTAGAATATTCTTACACTATGCAGGTTGGCACTGCCCTAGTAGCAACGTGTATCGTGCTGAAGTTTTATTTCCACAACCCGGCAGTGTCGGACATGCCAGGATGGGTTCGTCTTGTGGTTCTGACATGGCTGGCAAGATTATTAAAATACGACTTGAAGAAGAAGAAAGATTCCCTCAGTAGACAAAGCTTCTTTGTAGAAATAGCTGATAATTATAAGGAACCTCTTCTAGAAGTAGGTAAGGATTAGGATAATAACCTAAACATTAAAAAATTGCTATTCAGTCTTAGCCGGAGTGGGCCCTTCCCTGACCTAGATCAGCTCAGAGGTGGTTTAATGGTTAGATATTGTCAGTTAGGCCGCGCCATGCCTTAAACCAGTCCAGAAGTTGATTTTAAGGTCCGATCTAAAAGTTGGATCAGCTCAGAGGTTTTTTACTGTTAGACTGATCTGTGAGTTAGCCGTGCCCTGACTTAGATCAGCCCAGAGGTTGTTTCAGGGTTTGATCTGTGAGTTAGCCGTGCCTTGACTTAGATCAGCCCAGGGGTTGTTTCAGGGTTCGATCTGCGAGTTCGCCATGCCCTATAAATTAGTTTCAATACACTTTGGTCTTCAATATCTCAGCAGATCACGACATTTTTCATCGCAAAGTGGAAAACCTGAACAGAGAATCCACCAATCCGGTTCATTTAACGCCTGGCATATCAAGTGTACACCTTTCCCCCAACGGAAACCTAAGAAGAAACAGTCGAAATGGCTCCATCCATACAATTCCCGAGAAGCACCGCGAGTCATTTCTGAGCATGCGCAAGAATAACATTGATCATCATTTCTCAGGAATAAATGAGAACTACCGCTGTTCTTGTTGTCACATGGCGCAAACGATCGACGATCACGTGATCAAACTAATCGATTCTCAATCGTCGTTGTTATCGAGCGTCAATAATCTGCTGAAACAAACCAATGCTAAAGAAATGCTAAACGAAAGTAAATTGGAATGGATACTCGCGGCAAATATTGTCGATCAAACTTGCTTTGTTATTTTTCTTGTGCTGCTGTTTTCATCGACAGTGATTATATTTACCCAAGCATACTAGAGCCTAGTCTCCTTTTTAGGCGGGATTTTGAGGACGGTCCCCAAGAACGCCTGCAAAGGAGACTAACTAGAAGCATTATCTTAACACTGTAAATTCTCGCTTTCTGGTTGGTCGAGAGCCGTGGTAAATAAGAAGACATACTAACATTTTTTGTTTGTTTTGTAATTAAAAACAAATTATCCGCTGCGCCTCGTGAGTACATAACATTTTGACCAACTGTCATATCGTGTCAAATAAGAGAAAATACGACGCAACATGAATGGCCTGCATGGAATAGACCTTCTCGAATCAGCCAAATACCGCTGTGGTTTTTGAATACATTCTTATTTATACAGGGTTAGGCTCGGGTAACTTCACATGAGCCGAACCTTAGAGCAAATTTTGTATGACAGTCAAAAGTTCACGGCACGAACACGGTCATTACACGGCAAGCGATACGCCAGACCAATTACATTGCACGAGAATTTACTCTCCATCCAATCAAATACCCGGAACATGACATGAACACGGCGTGGACACGGTCACGCCAAGGTCACGGCAATGCCAGACCAATCACATTGCGCGTGAAGAAAATCAGCCAATTAAAATTCTAGAAAGCATCACGGTCACGGCACGTCACACTTACGGCAATGAGCTTTTCACAGTCACACGAAAACTGCACTATTGAAATTATACTTCCAATATGTTACTTATTTTGACGTCTCCCCAGGCTTTTAACTGTAGTTGTTTTAATTTTTTTATACTAAACACTAGCCATTATGAGTAATCAAATTTACAATGTATATTATGGAAACCTTGAGTATAATGATGATGTTCTTCAAAACTGTTTGTGTGAACCAGCCAAAATTTGTATTTCTAATGAAGCCTGTGGTGATGTCACAGTCATTTACATATTGCAAGTATAAACCTTCATAATTAACCTATAACATTATGACGTCACAGCTTGTTTACATGGGCAAGAATGATAGGAATTTACGCGAAATTTTCTTTCGTTCCGGATATTTATTACAACAATTATCTGTTATCACCTTTCCCCGTCTAATTAACCATTTTTTATTGTGATTTAATTCGTTTTGCTGCTATTTTGCCCCCTCTGGCGGCCATGATCCTTAGCGTTAAAACAATATTGTTTTGATGTGACGTCATAGTGTTATAGGGCAATTTAAAGACGTAACCGTTCAAATGAAGAAATATTTTACCACTCAACTATTCACATTATGTAGAATCAATATTGAAAGTATTGTATCAGGGGTTAGGTCCTTAAGATCTATCAAGAATAGTTTACTTTTAGACGCAGTTTTTATACTTACTTAGTTTTTCTAAATGTGTATCACCGCAAACGCGGTAAAAGTTTCTTTGGACCAATGTGTGACATCTTGTAGGCACTGCCGCCTGCTCACATGTCAAGCCAAGTTGACGGAATCAAGTCAGCACTGCGCTTAAAAAAAGCAAAAAAAGGATAATAATCGTTCAATAAAATTGAAATAGTGACACATCCACAGCAGTATTATTAGACTATACTCAAAAATCTTAATGGCTGATTAGTCGTGTTGAGTTTTTTCAACCGTAAGTATTCAATAAGCTGATATGTAACGCATGCGTAGGACTACTTATTACAGTAGACTGCTTTTGTCAATCTCGTACCCAGTGCCTGCGTTTCTTCTGGCCTGTGGAGAAGAACGAGGGCTCTGGCATAATCCATTTTTTAAGACCACGATTTCTTGGACTTCCCGTGTAAGAGCGCATACGTGTAAGACCTGACAAAAATAAAAAATATGTTCCCGATTTCTAATTTTTATTTTGATCGGAAGTAAACACAGAACTCTATTTGAAGGCATCATTTTCACTGATTATATTTCATTTCCGGAAAAATGCGCATGCGCCAAAAATGGATTATGCCAGAGCCCTCGTTCTTCACCGCAGTCCAGAAGAAACGCAGACTCTGGGTACGAGATTGTAAGTATTCATATTGCATAGTATGGAACAATATTTGTATTATGATCATGGATGTAGTCCTGAGAATTCCCTGCTAGCAGAGCCTATTTTCCTTTTGTTTTGGTCGAGAGAGAAAAATAGACTCTGCCGATGTAGGACATTATACTTGTCGCGCCTGCGTAGTGTAACTTAGCAACGCTGTCGTCTAACAACGTTTGGCACCTATAGGTGTGTTACATTTGCTCATGCGCACTACATGTACCCGTTTAAAAACCGGTTTTAAAACCTGTTTCGTTCGTCCACAATCGTGGACGGCGGTGTATCAAAGGAAACGCTCTACATCGGCAGAGTCTCGATATTAAAGAGGAGAGACTCTGCTTAACAGGGAATCCTGAGAAGGAATGTTTGATGGGACTGACGTTTCGACAACCTGAAGAGTAATCTTCAGAGTAAAGTGAAGAATAAAGTCAGATTGGTCATATTTATACTGCCACGATAACAACAGCCTAATTACCTGGATTAGCGTAATTGGCTTACGCTTTGCTGGCGTTACAATGCTTTGTACACAGAGCTCAGCAAAGCGTAAGCGTAAGCGGTGCTGCCAGCCGCGACAAGGAATAACACGGACGTCAAGCGTGATTAAATGAAAATATTCATCGCGTAATATTTCAAAAACGCTCTCATATACATTTTTTTCATATGGCAATATGTTGGGTGCCTTGATGAATACTATCGACTGGTGCAAGTCGCTTTGAAAGTTTAGGTCTAGTTTT